CCCTGGTTCATTATCAGTCAGGGGTCAGCATGGTGTGCGGTGGAAGCCCCCATCTTGTGTGTGAGGAAGAATTAAGGAGAATAAAAGGAAGAAAGACACGGTGGGGTCCTTATTTGACCCCTTTTTGACATTTCTGGGATTATTTTAAATAGTTTCTTCTGTTATGTGTAATTATTGAGCACAGACCCTTGAAAGATGTTTTTCTGAATCTTTTAAAGTAATGTTTTTTATTTATTTATCTAATGTACCTTGACTGAATATTTTCTCTTGTTTTTCTTGCTTGGAAGCTTTCAGTACGCCTGGACTTCATCAGAAATCACAAGCGGAAAAGCATTTTTGCTGCTAAAAAAAGCCAAGTGATTTCCAGTCAAGTGAGCTCTTGATTGCAAGGCGATTTGTGTCACTTTTTTTGCACTTTCCCCTCATAGTTTAGACTTCTTGTGCATAAAGCAAGAAGACAGATGGCATTGTAACTGTATCTGCAACTGAATCACGGATAGAACTGAATCTGTTGGTGAAATTGTTCTGTGTGCATCTTTGAACAGAATATCTAAACGCGCTGAACAGTGCAACAAGTATGTTGTTGCAAGAGTTTATTTTTATTTTATTTATTTTTTTGTATTTAAATACTTCCCATATTATTTTGGGAAGACTGAGGTGTTCTCAGGACAAAGTGTTTTTCATAAATGTCAGGTCAGGGCAAGCTGTCACATATGTTTTAAATGTAATTCTTTTTTGTAATTTTGTTTGACAAAAAACAGTTGCTTGGTATTTTTATGGCACTTTTTAAAAAATATTTTTGTTTTGTTTTTTCATTGGTACATAATTCTTTTACTGTTTAAATTATAACTATAATAGGCTATTTAATGCCAGTTTACCTCATATACTGTGAGAACATACCCATTATTGCATGTTAAATGAACTGTATCTTTTCCTGGTCTTTCTTTTTCTGACTTTTCAGGCATGTGCCTATACAGTTTTAGAATGATAAATGGTAACATAAAACTTAAGTGCAGTCAGCTTTTTAAATGATCTTTAAATGTAATTGGTGTCTTTGCTCCAATAAAAATGTATAATAAAAATGTAAAAGGCATGCACATCCATCCAATATGGGTACAGGTGCAATGCAATAACCAAATAAATAAATAAATTACAACACTGAAACTAGTGCAATATTTTAATTAGCTCTTCATCAGACATTTTTTTTTTTGCTTCAAGTAATTTCTCTCAGTACTTTTAGAACTAGTTCCAGATCAGTGAGAGTCATTTAAATGAGGTTAAATAAATTATAGGCCTTCCGGCACACTCTTTTAGCTGCCAGACCTGACCTGTGATCAGGTGGAAATGAGGAGGGCAGAGGCAGGAGTGATCATGTCCATCTCTCTTTCTGGGTGACTACAGTGTATTGAGGAGAAACACGTTGTGCATGTGTGACTGTGATGTCTCCTTAACTAAAGAATCATAAACATGTCATTTAAAAAAAATCCTTTTTGGTACATGATCCTTCTGGATCTCTATGTTCAGAAGCAGTTAAAACTCATTGTAATCTTTATAAGTGATTGTTCTTTTTGTGCCTTTGTCTCTTGGTGACTTTGTTTACTTTGTTGCTTGTCATTTGACATAGAACATTTCTTATAATCAGACCAACATAGCATCACATATACAATTGACAGGGTATTTTAAAGGATTCCAGGCATTGGGACTTGTAATGCAAATGTATGAACCACTTAAAGGGGTCATATGATGCTGCTAAAAAGAACATTATTTTGTGTATTTGGTGTAATGAAATGTGTTTATGCGGTTTAAAGCTTAAACTGGATTTGTACCTGCAACCTTTTGGTCAAGAGAGTTTACATATTTCTCTTTTTGGTTTTACGGCAAATAGTAACCTTGTCACCTTTTTGCTGATTTTTATGTCTCTATAATTCACTGATTGTTTTATCTGTAATGTTATTTAATCGACAGGATGACTGACTGCTGTCAGATGTGATCACACTGGAAAAGAACCTGTGGGAGAAAACCACACAATCACATGCGCACACACACATAGCCTGAGATTTTGGTGTATTTGAGTGCATTTCAGATTCATATTAGGTGATTTAATGAAAATAAACACCTGATTAAGATATATAGAAACAGTTTTTTTGTTTTCTTAGTCATCTATGGTTATATGATGTATTGTATGAACATATCATGTGGTTAAATTGGACTATTTATGTCAGGTTTGCCCTGGGACACAGAGTGTAACGTTTAATTAAAATTGATCCGATAGTATTAATGATACCAAAGAAACATCTCCCTCTTAACACCCACATGCAATTTCTCATGCCAGTGAACATTTCTCAGGCATGTATTTAAGTTTATACACACATACACACTGACTCACTGCTAGACACACACACACACACACACACACACACACATACACATACACTCCATATACCTGTGTTTGTCTTCCTTTTTTTGCTGCCCCCCCCAACCCCCTATCATGCATACTCTGGTCTCATACGGCTGGCATTAACATGATGTTTTCTTCTCACCATCTGATTAAAATAAAGTCACTTTGTGATTGTGTAGGAGGTCCTTTGAGGAAATAGGGATAAACGCTTTCTAAGTTAATTAGCAGTCTCGAAAGACCAGATCAGAGAAGCAAACTCCTGATAGAACTGTGGATCAGCCAGTCTCAATCAAACAACTTTTAAAGAAACGACCGTTTTAGATTGGTAAAACCAGCCGGAAATAGTCGTGCTTTCACCTTTCAGAGAGGGATTTAATCTCTCGCTCTCTCTTGCTCTTCACCTTTTCCAACAATTTTGTCACCTTGAGTGAGGCTGATGGGAAGATGTGTGTGGGCGCTGTGCGTCAGGAATCGGATATCTATCCATATGGGGAAAATGGCCTCTAATCGTTTCATTAAATGCGTTCATGGTGAAAGGCAGTAACTGTTTGGGTGTTGGTGTTGGGGTTGGATGAGTAAGCCTTGCCTAAAATGGGCTGGAAGACGACAGCGCCCCACAAGGCTCTTGCAAATCAATATGGAGGTTGGCAGGATGTTTAAAAGCTGGAACATACGGACGTCTCCCCCTGCTGTGGGTGTGATCGTCTGACATGCCTGTGGTATCCATAGTTTTTGGTAATGGTTGTGAGACGCTTTCTATTCTAAAAATGTATCTGAGAAAATATCATTATTACACTTCAAAGGGGAAGCAAAAGGTCAAAACATGAAAAACGTATTTTTCTATGAATAACTTAATCTGCCTGACTGTATCAGATCTTTCAGTGAACAGTTCTTAAAATAACCACTTTTCCACTATAAATAACCTTTTATGCAATGGAAAGGTTCCATGGACATTAAAGATTATTTATGGAACCACAGATGCCAATAAAGAATCTTTATTTACGAATTTATGTAATCTATTATCATCGTCAGGCTAATTTCATAGAAATACGCTATTTGTGTTTACATGTATTTGTGTTTTTTTTAAACAATAAATCCATGTGATAGCACTGCATCCCAGTCATTTAAAGAAAAAATCAAAACTTGCTTAAACTACAAGTCAAGCAGCTGAAAAAATACTCTTGAGTATACTTTTTAATTTAGGCAGGCTACTCATGGGGTTATTGCTGCTGCAGATTTGACTGCTATGACACAAAGTTGTCCAGTTCTTTTACTGAGATAAATAGATATGGAAAATATTTTTATTATTAGTTTTAACCAGGTTATTCAAGTCCTGTCCAATGTGATGTTCTCTATCTGATATGGACACTCTCATTTCCATTAGGTGAGCGGAACTGAACCTGTCTGACTCACTGCAGGTACAAATGTCACATGTACCCCAAAAGCTGAAGTCAGAACTACTGTCACAGTGAATCATAGGCTTTACTGGACTTAGTTAAATTATTTAACGCCGTGACACGGTATGTGAACTTAGTTTAGCCCACAGCCCTGAAAGAGACAGACAGAAACTGCTCTCTAAAAATATTTCAGCGAGAAACTGTTAAACTCATAACACTTAATTATGGACTCAAAATTAAAATTATAGGCTTAAAATTGTTCTTTTTTACTTTTCACTCTCTCTTGAATTTACTTTTGGGTGATTAACCTGCTGCTGCTGCTTATAAGTTGGCAAGCAAAATATGGAGTAGGCTATATCGCCCCCTTTAGGGCAACAGGAAAACAAGAAAAACATCCCATAAAATTAAAATGAAGTCAAAGACGTTATCTTAGTCATCCAAACTGACACCTCTAATAATATTTAAGAAACATTGCATAGTACTGAAAATATTTTATAATAATATTTTTCAGACACCGGATTTAAGCATCACAATAATCTAGTTAAATGCTGGTCGAAAACTCAGCAACCATCTAACGCAATATAGCATTATATTGTGAGAAAACAACTCAAAATAAATTTTGATAAATTTTACACAGTATTTACTTGGGACAACAGAGCAGATCACAGTAGCCTCTCATTTAGAGGTCAAATGTCACCATGTAACAATTTATCTTTGTTTGGGAAAATATTTGTAGTATCACCCTCTACCCTCTGTGCAGAGGAATCTTCATTTTCCTACATTTTCCTTTTATTTCCTACGAATTCCTACGTTTTTGTTCTCATTGCAAAGGCATTACCTGTCCAAAACTGCAGCTTTGGATGAATTAACTACTGCCACAAAATTCAACAGGTTAGGTTACTGTTTGTCTACCGCATGCAATTGAGGACATTATAAGGAAAAATAATATGTCAGTGTGTGTGTGTGTGTGTTTCCCCTCATATTTGAACATTTTGGTTGAATATAGATGGGCTCTTTTATGTAGGCCAACATGCGTTGTTATGTCACCAATCTGTCAGTCTTTGGCTTTTGCTCTCATAGTTGCAGCGGATGTCTCGCCTCCTCGTGAATTAACAAAAGCTGTGAGAGGGTATCCCAGCATCGCCCGGCTGTCTCCCGGGGAAACATCCCGGGTAAACAAGAGCCAATCTCCGCGCAACCGGGCGGCAGAGCAGCAGCAGCTCTCGTGTTGTGATTTCTGAAACTGGCGCGCGCGACACGTCCATCCACTTTAGAGCAAGACAGAGAGGTTTGCTAAAAAGAAAATCCCTTACATTGAGGCAGCAGTTTAAGTCAGGTGGCTAAATAGGTAAAAATTGACTTTACATTGGCTTAAAATATATTTGTGTTTGACTGACGAGCTCAAGGACTAAGTGATGGATAGGAAAGGAAACTTGCTGCGCGCCACTTCAGCTGGGTACCGTTTACCGGACCGACCCAATGGTCCTCTCGCCTCTCAGTCCTCGGTCTCAGTGTTCAAGCATTCAGCGGGTAGGACACGAAACACCGGTGAGAAACCGGCGCAAGACGATGATACCCGAGATCCGGTAAAGCAGGACCAGGTTTGGAGAGAGTTTGTGCTCGCAGAGCGAACCGGTGTGAAAGAATGGTAAGAAAGCGATATGGTAAGAAAATGGTATTCACTTTATTAGACATGTCGTGGATTTGCCGGTTTGTTTCTCACTTTCTCTGGAGTTACGTTACTAATCTTTTCTTTCACCTCTTAAATGTGGCATTGTTTGACCCGTTATTTGATACGGGATGGATTGTGGTTGACCAGGCGCCCCCTGGACGGTGTACGTTACGGCTACTCATCTCTTGTTCTTCAACAACTACAACTAGGCTATATAGCCGTGGTTACTGTACACAAAACCACCATCATATAATAAAAAAAATCACAAGTTCGCTTCTAAATAATTCATTGCATCGTATGGTCTGGAGAATATCATGATGTAAAATACTTCATGTTGTTTTATCACAGGAAGAAGAACTGGAGTTTCCTGATGAACTTTGACCAACTGGTAAGAAACCCTTTTATCAGTGATGACAATTTGCCAATGACTCAGAACTGTTACTCATAAGTTTTCTTGCAGTATTGTTAAAATGTAAATTTAATTAACATATAATGCAAATATAAAATGCTGTTTAAAGGTTTGGGATCAGTCAGATTTTTAAAAAAATGATTAAATTTTTTTTTTTCTCAGCAAGGATGCATTAAATTGATCAAAAGTGACAGTAAAAATGTATGGTTACAAAAGATTTACAATTCAAATAAATTCTGTTCTTGTGAACTGTTTAATCATCAAAGATTCATTTCTAGAGCACCAAATCAGTATATTAAAATGATTTGGAAGGATCATGTGATGCTGAAGACTGGAGTAATGACGAAAATTCAGCTTTGCCATCACATGAATGAATTACATTTTAAGTTATATTAAATCAGTTGTAATATTCAAAAACAAATTGTAATGATAATTCAGAATATTACTGTTTTTACTGTGGTCTTAATGAAATTAATGCAACTTTGGTGAGCATATAAGAGACTTCTTTCAAAAATATTAAAAATTTCATGCACTCAGTAATTTTTGTCAACATTAGTTTGCATGGGACTGGTCAGACTTTGTGTTCACATGACCGGCCATATCATGCAATTCACAGTTATACTACTAATAACAATAATAATAATAATTTATAGTGCTTTCAATCCATGCTCAAGATGCTTTACGAAGCATTTATTATATATATTTTATTAAAGCTATCATTCATCTTTATTTTTAGGTCAGTATTTTTCATGTTTTCATGATGGAGTACCTTAAGCTGCATTATTAGGCCTATATGTTAATTTAGTTGTATTTCCCTTGGCACTCTCACAGGGTCATCCGCGTACAGAAACTCCTCTCCCCAGCTCTGTCTCTTTATACTCAGACAGAGTCCCAAACACCACTAACCAAATGTTCGGCAGCGGCCTGTACACTGAGCTGGGAAAGAAGCTGATTCGCCTGGACAATCTGCTAACCCTGACAGCGAACCACCGCAAGGCCAAAAGGAATCCAGAGATGCAACCCTGCTGAGGTTTACCAGGCACAGGATGTGTTCAAAACAATCTCTTGTATTAGCTGAGATTTGTTGCCTTCTCTAGAGACCTTCCCTTGGGTTGTTCTGTTTGTCTTTCCTTTATCTATATACTTAGACAAACTTAAGAGTGTTCAGTGGGTGACAATTTGTTTTTTGGATGTATTTTTTTTTTCTGTGGACAGCCTAAATACCAGCTGCCAATCTGTGTATGTATGTGTGTGTTTGCTGTTTGTTTTGACAGTGTGTTGAGAGCATTTGTTTTTATATTAGATTTTGTGCTGACATTAATATGCATCTCTCAGAGTACTTTAATATGCTGGTGAAGGCAGTAAAGATGACCCTGTTTTTAGAATATATTTACATATTCATTTTTTTAGATGAACGCAGTTACTCTTCAGTGTATAAATGCAAATTAGTTACAGAACTGGATTAAAATTCCTAGATCAGAGAGATTTATTTTTCTGTACTTGAAAGGGTTAGATTTGTTTGCATCTCAAGAAAAAAATAGGAATTAGATGTGTCAGGTAATTCTTCACAGTTTACAAAAAGTCCTAGCCAATTGAGATATTTTATCTATGGAACATTAGGAGGATTAGAACGGGAATATTTTGCCAAGACCTTCTACATTTATACTGTTTAAAAAAACCTATCTTGCCAAATTATATTCCAATAAAGTTTTTCTCCTTTTAAACAGCTACAGTGTGTGCCTTCTTTTCGGCCGCAAATGTGTGATCACAGTCAAAATAGATTACAAAATATATTAATATCTTTTTCTTTCACCTTTAAGAGAAAAAGAGATAGAAATGTGGTTGGGAAATGGCACAGACCAGATCTTAGGCCAGGCTTAAACTTTTTATTTTCCTAGTAATTTGATGTGTAATAATTGTGATTGAGTTGAAACTTGCAGAAAATGGGGTGTCGGTTTAATCTTGCTTGTGATATCAAATACATTTCAGGTAACAGCCAGGTTATTTCTCATGTGTGTTCCATTAGACGAGATAAAACGCGCCCTCTGTTGGAAGAATGTGCCTTCTTAACAATATCAACAAGTGAACATTTACTTCATAATGTAGTTGCAAATACAAGAGGTCGCTGTTACACTCTTTCATTAGGAGGTTTTGTTGCCTTAAGTGTTCTTCGCGCTACTTCAAAATTGATTCGAGAATAAATTCATAAAGGACTCAACTACTCTGCGTTTTATGAATAAACCAATAGATCATTAATGAAGACCAACAGCATTTTCATTCAATTCGAAAACGTCAGAAATCATATATATGCATTCTTTATTTGATTCACCTCATAAATAAACAAATATAATAATACATTTTAATTTATAATAAATAAAAATACAATTTACAATGTATGCCACTCAGCAGTAACATGATTCATTGTGGTGATTTCAACATCCTGTGTTCAGTCACATCTAATTTCGCACTCAGTTCAGTCAACTCACGTTCATTACAGCATAACCTTTATTCCTAAACATTGTGTTTAGAAATTATTTGGAGTAAACTAATGAAACTAAAAGCCGAGTGATGTTCTGCGATTCTTCAGTGATATGTGGTGGGTGTGAGAATGATATCCACAGGAGGATATTTGCATTATCTCGTGTGCCGCCAATCGTGGGCGAGACAGAGAGAAGAGAGGCTTATGGGTAAAGACTGCTGTTGTCGTGGACGTTAGTGATGGATTCATTTCAGCGAATCGGTTGTTTTGAACAACTCATTTCAAAGAATCGTTTACATAAACGATTCAACAATTCTTTTACGTCATGACGCACTTGCGTCATCACGTGGTTCTTGATATCCTAGTATGGCATACTGCCTACTGTAAAACCTTCAGATAAGCCATATTTAGACACGGTTTTTTTGACGTTTATTGCAATTTCATGTGTTTCCATTCAATTTAAATTTAGTAATTAGAACTTAAAATCATAAATTTAGTAATTAGAACTTAAAATCAATGTATTGTATTGAATCATCTTCATTTGACCCTCTAACTCTAGCACTATTCTAACCTATTCTAATCCTAAAGAAACACTCGAACCTCTAACGCTTGCACTCTTTATTCTATTTCTATTCTTACTATTTGTTTTCTTAGAAAAAACTCCAACACTAGCATTCTCTATTATTTTTTCTATTCTATTTTCTTGTTTTCTTTATGTATTCTAAAAAAAAAACTTAGGCTAACCGAGACTTGTCACAGCACTTACATATCATTACCCTTCTTTTGGTTTTGATTGCTTCTATTGTACTCATTTGTAAGTCGCTTTAGATAAAACCGTCTGCTAAATAACTAAATGTAAATGTAAATGTGTTAGTTGATAACTCGAGAACCGCTCAGGCGAATCGTTTGGACCATTTTTGTGATTCGGATCATCTGATTCATTTAAAAATGTCCGAGTCAAAAGACCGATTCGCTCACGAATCGGACATCGCTAGTAGATGTCAGAGAAACGAACTCGAGGCTCGAGCTACCTGCAGGAATACCGAAGAACTGATCCGCGAACTGGCGCGAGCGACCTAATCCACTAACGACATGCTGAGACACTTTAGGAAAGCGCTTGCGAGTAACTTAAAATAAGTAACGTTAACTTTATCATGAATTATTAATAATACACATAAAACGCGCCGGTTCCGTTTCACGTCGCAGTTTAGTGTGTTGCAGGAATGCGTTGGAGTTTGTGGTCTGGTCGACTCCAACAGATGCTCGCCTTTGAACAACAGCAGCGTTGTTTATGAACTGGGGAAGATTTGAAGTCAGGCTCAGCCAGTCCGGAGCGCCCGGGAGAGGGGGAGAGGAGACGAGACGAGACGAGACGAGGGGAGGGAGGAGAGAGGCGGGGAGGAGAGGAGAGGAGAGGAGAGGGGCGCCCAGAAAACGCCCTGCTGCTGAATCCTCTCAAAATTAAAACTTTATCGCGCCATTGACGGCACGCTCGCACTGAAGGATGGGAGGTTTGATTCCTCTCAATTGTTTAAAGTAACCACTTCATAGATCGTTTTGAGGAGGAAAGTTTGGAAAACCTCAATTGTTCCCATTGGATTATTTTTTTCCGCTTTACTCTGGACAAGCACGGGGTACTTTTTGGAGGGCGGCGAGTTGGACGCTGTCTAGGCCCGCTGCTCGACAACTTGAAATAAGATCTTGTATCTTTAATGTGAACCAGAAAAGTTGGGCAGATCGCTCATCATTGCTCAGACTGGCGCCAGGACAAGGCAAAAATGTCGCTAGGAGCGGAGAGAAGGATGGAAAACCGGTTGAGACAACTGGAAGCCATGCTCAAAGAGCCGCGGTCTGCGATCAACTTGGAAAGTTTGCTGGTAAGTTCCCCGTCCTTTTTCATGAATGTTTAATGCGCCTCGAAGATCCGTTGCCTAGTGACACAGAGAAAAAAGAAATAACAACAACCTAACCGCGATGTTGCATTGCAGAAATTAGTGTCTAGTGAACGTTACAGTCGACTGTGAGGAAGCTCAGTGTGCACGTTGATGTCTCTTTTAATATCATCGGTATTTGTACATAATCATCGCCCCACTTCCTTCTTTCCTTGTCAGTAACTTGTGGATAACCTCAAGTCCCAGTATCCGCGTATAAAACTATTCTCACGTACACTTGCCATATTTGAATAACTGCTGCGTCAAGTTGTGAGTTCATATGTTGCCTCGCTCCAAATATAGTAATATTGTTGGCCTGCAACATGACAATTTCGTAATTCCCCCTTCCTGCTGTTGGTGGCTTGTTTTTGTTCTGGAAGTAGACTGTTATTAACTGGCCTGCAGGCGAAGGTATTGGACACATATTTCTAAGAGCAGGAATATTCACAGATTGATCTAATCTCTTCAAAGTGCACTTTGAATTGTTTTTATTTTTCCTTTGTGAACTGACAGATGAACGTTTAGTGCCCTTCCTTTTTTGTGTGTGGGCACATGTACAGCTCAGTTGGTGCCAAGTGATAATATTTCGCGAGCTTGTCAATCGGTTTATGTCTGATTATCTAGCTATTGACGAAAACACAGATGATAGGCAGAATGCCAGAAGTTAGATAGATCTGACAAAACCCTCTTTTTTGTGACACCATCAAACAGAAAAGTGCAACAAAAAAAAAAAAACGTATTAAATTACATTTTTTTCAAAAAATTAATTTTAGAGGTCTATGATTATGAATAATTTTATTTGAAAGCAATAGAAATTAATTGTAATGCTTGACAGATGCTTTTTTCAATGACTGAAACTATCAGAGAGCCGAATAGCCCCTATAATGCTGATATTTATGTGATATAGCTGAATAAAATGAAATTATAGCAAATGAAATGTATTTGAGCTAAAATGGAACATTTTTGTATATATATATATATATATATGTGTGTGTGTGTGTGTGTGTATAGGGAGAGAGAGATACTTTTTAAATACTTTTATTCACCAAGGATGCATTAAATTGATCAAAAGTGACAGTAAAGACATGTATAATGTTACAGAAGATTTCTGTTCAAATAAATGCTGTTCTATTAAATATTAAGCAGCACAACCGTTTTCAACATTGATGGTAATAAGAAATGTTATTATGGACCAAATCAGCATATTAGAATGATTTCATAGTAGAATATGACACTGAAGACTGGAGTTATGACTGTTGAAACTTCAGATTCACCATCACAGGAATAAATTACATTTAAAATATATTAAAATAGCATTCATTTAAAATTCTAATATTATTTCTCCATATTTCTCAATGTTTTACCATATTTGTACCATAGTTTTTATGATAAAATTAATGCAGCCTTGATGAAGAGAGCTGTCTTTCAAAAAATGAAAAAAAAAAAAAAAAATTTTAACTGCAACTGTATGTTATTGACAAAACCAATACTGGTTATTGGCCGATGCCAATAGTTTTATCACTAGTTAAGTCCTAAAATTGATAGTTAATGCTTAATTGTCTAATTTCTGCAACACTAATGACACTAAACAGAACTAAAAAGAAATTATGACAAACTCTCCCCCATCAACCATTGATTAGACAGACATATAAGGCTTTTTAAAATGAAAACGATCCTCGTCTACACTTGCGTTTTCACTGCGTTTCAGAAACTATCTTCGTCCACACTGTACGCAGCCAAAAACGCATGTCACATGACCATTTATGCAGGTACAACAATGAGAATGATGTTATTGTTTACACGGTCGTCAAGAATACGCAGAGCGAATGTGGGCAGCCACGCCATCGTTTCCAAAAGTCTCCGTCCGTTTACACTGAAATGCAACCCCGGAGTTTTCAAACTAAAACGGGGTATGCAGCGTTTTTGAAAGTCTCCGTTTTCGAGGGTCAAAAGTGTAAACGACAGGCG